TCTTTTTGATATGAAAGATATTTTTTCCCTTCTCTAATAAGGTTTTTTAAGAAAGATCAATACACGAATTGATTGGTTAATATTTTGATTTTTCAAAATTTTCTCACTCTGGCGTCAAAATTTCAATATCCTTCATTGCAACCCTTATATTTGGATAAATATTCTTGGGAAGCATGTTAACATCTATTCCGATAGGTTGTAAAATATGAGATTTAAGAGCCACAAGATACTGTTCCCATTCATCATCAAATGATGCAGCAAGGTCCCCACGAGGAAATTCATATTTTGAATTAGATTTTTTTTGACTCATTTTTATTTCTTATGGGAATCTAAAAAAATCAAATTTTTTAATTTAGATATACACCGGACTGACAAAAGTATCCGAACAAGATCATCTAAATATGATCGACAACAATTAAACGCGATTATGGCACAACCAAATGATTCGAATTTTATAATTATTTTTTATTAAAACTCCCGTGTTTACTAACTTCAACTGATATTTTTGGATTTTTTTCATTAATGAGCTATAGATCAATTTGTTTATGTATATATTTTACATGGTCATTTAAATATTTCAGATCTATTAGAATGTAATGTTGAATGATTTGATATTATATTACATACTATAGATTTAGGTATCAATATTTTACTGACTTCACTTATTGTTTTTTGACTTTATATAGATTAAAAATTTTTTCACATTCAAGATCTGATCTATTAGTTATTATTCAAAAATGTTTATTTAAAAAGAGTAGGTATAAACACTGTTTTTAATTAAATTTCACAAATAATTGATCAGTATTTTTATAGATAATGCCAAAAATTTATAAATAAAAATATAAAAAATTTATTTTCTAAAGCTAGAAAATTAGGTGCATTCAATAAAAAAAGTATAATAAAATTGAATGCATAAGTATATTATAATTAATATTTAAGTTTATTAATTTTTCTAGTTATCAATCTTGTCTGGATATTTTTGTCAGATTGATATATATTTTTATTAATTAATTAATCTTTATATATTGAAAATTCTTCATCAATATTAATTATAAATCAATTAATTTTTTTGTATTGTAAATTTTTTATTAATATTAATTATGAATTAATTAATTTTTTTTTATTATAAATTTCTTATTAATATTAAATAATCTTTTTATATTATAAATTCTTCATTAATATTAAATAAAAAATAATTAATTTTTTTTATTATAAATTTTTTATTAATATTAAATAAGAATTAATTAATAATCTTTTGTATTATAAATCTTTTATTAATATTAAATAAAAATTAATTAATTTTTTTATATTATAAATTCTTTATTATTAAATAAAAATAATTAATCTTTTTATATTATAAATTCTTATTAATATTAAATAAGAAATAGTTAATTTTTTTATATTATAAATTCTTTATTAAAATTAAAAAGAATTAATTAATCTTTTTATATTATAAATTCTTCTTTAATATTAATTATAAATTAATTAATATTTATATATCTTGAAAAATTTATAAATATAAAAATTATTAAAATAAATTTATTTTAAAAATATTTATTTTATTATTAAAATTTATTCAAAATATTTTGTTTGATAAAAAAATATATAAATTTTTTATTTAAAAATAATATATTATATAAACTTAATAAATATTTATATTATAAAATAAATATTTATAAATATATAATAAATTATATTATTTTAAATTCTATTAATTATTAATCTAAATTATTTTTTCAAAATATTTTCATATATAATAAAATTATTTTACTAATTTGAATAGTAATAGTAAATTTATTTTAAATTATAAATTAAAGATTTTATAAATAATAGTTATATTAAATTTAATCTAATAATTTAGATTTTTATAAATCAAATTTTTTAGTAATATAATTTGAAAAAATTATAATATAAATTTATATTAATTAATAAAATTATATATATATATATAAACTCAAA